ATATATAAATATAAAATGTATATATGGTTTGAAGCATCTGAATCAGATGTTGGCAAACAGCTTTCAACATGGAGTCTCCTTTTGCTTAGCCAACAGCATCTTTGTGGACAAAAGAAGGGTGAAGTGTTGTCTGATGAGCATTGCTGGCCAGCTAAAATCCAGCACTGAGCTCCATCAGCTGCAGAAAATTGTCCTTCTGCCCCTCTAAACAGTTTGCTTGCCTACTGAAGAGAAACTGTGGTCTTTCCAGAGTTATCAGAAGCAGCAGATTTTAATTTGTTGTTACTTTTCACAAGAAAAGAGGGGTTAAAAATCCGCTGATGTTATTAACAAAGTCAGCCTGCTTATGTAGGGATTTTTCCCTGATTTTTGTTAAAATCTGTTGGCTCCTAGTTTCGTGTGTTGCCAACTAGTTTTTGCACCAGAAGATCATGTTCAGTTTTTCTGTAGCCCTTGCACTGAGATGGGCTTTGCAGTAGTAAGGTCCTCAGCACACACATGGTACCAGATCTTCCTTATGTACATTCATCTCCATTCAGTCCTGTTGTCCTCTCTGCCATGAAGTTGGTTTCCAGACCTCCAGCAGATGAGATATGGAGGCCATCCACATCTCTAGCCATTTATATGGAGTGACTTCTCTCTTTCTCAGGGATGTTGTGTGTCTTCTCCAGCACAGTCTTTTGGAGCTGCAGTGATAGGACAAGGGGTAATGGGTTCAAATTGAAAGATAAGAAGTTTAGGTTAGATAACAGACAAAGGTTTTTTACTGTGAGGGTGGTGAGACACTGGTACAGGTTGCCCAGAGAGGCTGTGGCTGCCCCAACCCTGGCAGTGTTCAAGGCCAGGTTGGATGAAGCCTTGAGCAACCTGGTGTGGTAGGGAGGTGTCCCTGCCCATAGCAGGGGGAGTTGTGACTCGTTGATCTGTAAGGTCCATTCCAACCCCTAAAATTCCATGATTCTGTGATTTAAAACCCCAGAGACTGCTTCTGTTTTGTCAGTGTATCTCTGATTGCATCTTAATTTTCTGTTTTCATATGTGGCTAATTAACACTTAAACTTGCTCTTGAGGGAGCTTCTCTGTTCAACGCTTTAGATGGACCAACCATGTGGTCGGCACTAGTGTGTTGGGATGTAGCTAATGCTCCTTGGACTGGCTGGGTGGAAATGATTTCAATGAATGTTTTGAAGCTGGGCCAGAGAGTGAATCAAACATGAATGACCATGAGTCACTTTGGAAAATAGCCGTGTGGAGGGCTCAGGAGTGACGTGCCTGCTGCAGGCAGCTCCACTCGAACGCCCAGCGGTTGCGTGCTGCCTTGGAGGGTCCTCCCGGCTTGTCCTTAGCTGCAGGGTTATAGCTGCCACCTCCTTTGGACGTGGGGAATGGTTACTTAGCGGTTACTTAGCGTGATGAGTGCTGAGTATAAATGAACCCGGGTATCTGTCATGTAAATGCTGTGTTGAATGTGAGATAAAGGAGTTGGTCTCTGTGCTGGTGAGTCCTGCTGGGCGATTGTCCAGGAAGAGCCAAGCTGCAGCTCTGCTGAGGAGGAGGGCACATTCCCGACAGCTCTGCTACAGGGATAGTGACAGGCATCCCATCTTGGCCAATATTTCCTGAGAAATCTCAGCAGCGTCATCTTCAGGATGAGTTTGCAGCAGGGCTCAGATGGCGTGGCCTTGTGTGATGTCTTTCAACTTGATTCAACCACCTTCCCTCAGCTTGGCTGCTGTGTGTCCCCTCAGGGTGCCTGTCCTTGCAGCCCTGGGAGGGGTCCCACAACACACAAGGTGTATTGCAGTGCCAGTAATGTTTTGCAGAGATGGGGACTGTCTGTGTCCCCTGGAGTGGCAGGTACACCCAAGGAGGTGAGCCAGACCACGTCATCTTCTCCCCAGATCCCTGGACCACATAAGCAGAGAGCTCTGAGTGGATGGCAGTGGCTGACCCTATTGTGTCTAAATTTCTTCTCCCTTCTTTTTCCCTTTTAAAGGTGAACCCCACGCCTCAGGGTACACGAGCACTGCTGAAAATGATGTACTGCCCACACTGCCGAGGTCTGGTGTCGGTGAAGCCCTGTTACAACTACTGCTTTAATGTTATGAGAGGCTGCTTGGCCAACCAAGGGGACTTGGACGCTGAGTGGAATATCTTTATAGGTAAGGCAATATGGGTTGAATCTGCATGTGAGTCTACACTCATACAGTGTCCCTCACCTTTGTGAGTGGCTGTGCTGAGCTACAGCAGGTTCTTCAGGTGTCTGTGTTTGGTATCTTTTCCTTCTACACCTCTGTATACAGCACACCTTGTGCTTATCACATTAACTTCTAAATAAATGAAGCTTGTGTTGTGCCAATGACCTCTGTTGCATCAAGCTTTAAGAGGATGGAGCTGCCATGTGCTTGTAGGCTTAGAGTGTGTCTGCTTGCTGGACCAAGCACATGTGCAAGCTGTTTTTTCCATGCTACTTTTTATACGTTGTTGTCACCATACAGATGTCCTTCCCAAAGCCGGTTTTCTTCTTCAGCAGCCTGGGAGTTTCCCTGCCAGCCATGATGAGCTTTGGGGAAAGCTGTAGACCTGGATTTTACATTCAAGAATTGAATAGGACATGTGTCTGAATCTGTTTTTAAACAGCTCATTTGGTACTCAGCCACCATGCTTTTACAATGTCTATAGGTCTTGTGTGATGCTGTGTGAGTGCTTTTGCCATCCTCTTCCTCCTGTTTGTTATTTCTCTTCCATGCTTATAGAGGGTATCATTCAACACATCAAATTTAGACTGAAATGTTAAATTCTACCTTGCGTCGAGGCGTGTCAGAATTGGCAATGCATCATGTTTTGGGGGCACAGGCAATAGATAACATTAAATATTTTCATTTGTGCTCCTTTTCCAAGAGGTTTGATTTATCTGTGAATGAGCATCCTTTGGGAGCAGTCGCTTAACTCCAGTTAATGTGTGATGAAGTGCACATGTAAAGTATCTGCTGCTACTGACAAGGCTGTGATACTCTTCCCATCCCACTCCTGGAAAAAAAAAAAAGAGAGAAAGATTTCCCTTTCATTAAGCTATGAGAGAGATGAGAGAGAAAAAAAAAAAAAGGGAAATTGCTGATAGTTGGCATTTCAGGCTAGATTTAAATCTTAGAACTTCTTTTCCCGTGTTTTGTGCACTGGATTTTCACTTCACTGCCTGTGCCAACTGGGTGTATGCAGGGTGTTGTTTTCAGAAGGCATTTTTTTTGCCTGTGTATTCCATATAGGGAGTTAAATGTGACACTAAATTGGGTTTCCAAGTCATTCTCTGGGAGGCTAACACCCCACCCCCCCATTCCTCCCAGCGTCTTTCTCATGAGAATATTAAGTATTTCAACTACAATTGTTGCTGAAATAGCTCAAAGCCAGGAGACTTGCAAACATCTAGTCCAAGTAGAAAGGAGGAATCCCATGAAAGGGAAGGGCATAATGCCAGAAAACAGACAAAAGCACAAGCAGCTAATTGCTGTAGGTGGTATGCGGCTAAAAACGAACCTCGAGGGAAGCTGGAGAGCCCTGTCACACGAGACTGATCAGGGACTGCATACAATAATTAAGATTATTAAACAAGACAAAATAAATACGTGTGATTCCAGGGTGGAAGCAAAGCTTTCTTCTCGCAGTGCTTCCTCCCTAAGGGGCTTCTTGCCCACTCATTACTTAAGTATGGTATTAAGCTTCATTACATTTATTGGCAGTATTTGCTTGGTTCTTGCACTCTGGGTTGATGCTTGCAGTGGAGTAGGGATACAGAAAACTTAAGCTGTGCTTTCTTTAGACAGTTTAATAACTGAACAGGTGCTGGTTATGTTCCAGATTTTGGTTTCTATCTCAATTTGCCACTCGAGGCAAATTAAATTAAATAGATCTGGTGTTTAGGGCAGGGCATATGCCACAAATATCTTGTGTCTGTGTTTAAAGGTTTAAACAATTAAATAACTAAACATGACCCCAAAAAATCCCCCCAAAACCACCCTACGAAAAAACCCCAAACCCCACCTGTATGAGCACAATGTGATTTTTGCATTGTGGGTTTAAGTACTAAGATATGGCAATGATTTATTACGAGTCAAAATCAGATTTTGAACCTAACAAAATAAATTAAATGGGAGACAACAAATGCTGCAAGTCTATATGAATCTGTGTGTGTGTGTGTATGAAATACGCATCTTGTGTGTATTAGTGGGTCTATATGTAAGTCACTTATGTAAGTAAGGCTTTTCCAAATTAAGTCTAATCTGTGTGTGTGTGTGTATGAAATATGCATCTTGTGTGTATTAGTGGGTCTATATGTAAGTCACTTATGTAAGTAAGGCTTTTCCAAGCTGGGATGTAAAGTTTGTAGGTTTTTTGAGACAAGAAGACTTTGTAATTCCTTATTTCTCCAAAGTACCATTTAAAGCTGCAGAGTATGAAATAATGACTGAATTGTACTCTTTTCTCCCCTTTAATGTATGAAATATGCATCTTGTGTGTATTAGTGGGTCTATATGTAAGTCACTTATGTAAGTAAGGCTTTTCCAAGCTGGGATGTAAAGTTTGTAGGTTTTTTGAGACAAGAAGACTTTGTAATTCCTTATTTCTCCAAAGTACCATTTAAAGCTGCAGAGTATGAAATAATGACTGAATTGTACTCTTTTCTCCCCTTTAACTATCTAAATTATTTCTCCCTCTATTCCTGACACAATTGTACACCAATTAGACAGGGGTATACTTTGTTTCAAACAAGCTATTGGGGGGTTGGAGCTTTCCTGAATGAACAGTGTTAATCTCCAGTGCCTTTTCATGATTTTTTTTTTTTTTACCCCCACAAAGGTTTACTCTGCTCAAAGATGTCGAATTCAGGCTCCATATACATATCTGGAGTACTACTTTGTGTGCAAAGATTTTTTTTTCCCCTTAAAAAAAATAAAAAAAAGATTGTTGTTAATGAATGGTCAAGGTCTTCCCCCTCCTTTCCTCTCCTTTTAAATCAGATCTTGGGGTTAAGACTGAAAACTGCCTTTTGTTCTTCAAGTCAGACAGTGAGGCTGAAGATGTGGGTTTCTGATTATTGGTGGCACAATGCGAAAGAATTGCTTTCCTTCATGAGAGCGAGGTGCTTTGTTGCCAAGGATTGTCTCAATGCCACTAGCAAGGACAAATGTATGCAAGAGGAAAAGGGTCTTTAAGGGATGGTGCTAGATGGTGTGGCTTGAGGGTTTTTTTCCCCCCCCAAATCCACTTCTATCTCCCCATCACAGGAAGGAGAGACAGTCTTTGTCATGCTGTGTGTTTGTAATACATGGCCAGAGTACATTTTTCACTCTGCCAAACTTTTTTTTACTTTTTTTTTTGTGAAGCAAAGCTGAGCCACCTCACTGTGACTTAGAAATATCAATTACTTTGCACCAGAGCTGGGGCAAAATAATTGTTATTTATAATCAATTCCTCCCTACTAAAAATGGAAAATCTTCTGGGGGAGATGAGTTGCTGCAAAGCTTCATTCCTGGTGCTAGAGCAGCATGTTTCCCATCCTACAGGCAATGATGCTAGTGGTACCCTGAACCCCAGCCAGCCCTATTAACGCCAGACAGGCTGCCAGAGGGAACCTCTGCTCACCACCACTGCTGCTGGGGACACCAGCCAGCTCCTGGTGGGAGGGAAAAGTTTGCAGGATGCTTCCAAAATCCAGACTGTGGATGCAGGGGAGTCCCCCACACTCAGTCCCTTTCCCCCCTCCCCCTTTTTAATGAAAGTTTATTTCATTTAGCTCTCCTTGCCAGTATCAATCCCAACTCCAATTATTACTTTCCTTATCTTTTCTCGCCAGCTTTGGCAGCTCTGCTGGAGGCCGAATGCATTTTCTCTATCGGCAGTCAAAGCAGAGGCTGCATTCCTGGGCTGTGATACATGGAACGCCATGGCACCCCTGCTAACAAAGGACCCAATTCGCTCTACATTCCCATGGTCTTGTGGATGGCCTGCCCGGCTCAAAGTTTACAAAGATGCCAAACAGCCAGAAGAATTGGGGTTTATGTTTCCTTTCAGTCTTTCACAAACACTTTATTGATCTGTGGCCTTTCCTGGCCACTCAGAGAATTAAGTAGTTACAAAATGGAATGATTTTACGTTTTTTAAAAAAAACAACCCTGTGCATTTTGTGTGTTTTATTATCTGTCTATTCATAATATTTTTATTTTAAATGAGAGGCTTCCTGCAAACTGTGCCGAGATGTTCTTTATGCGCGTGAAAAACCCCAAAAGCTTTGACAATGATGAACACATTTAAGTTGTGCTCCACTTGTTTACAAAAGTCTCCATTTGGTAGCACATCAAAAGCATTTTTCTCTCCTCCGGCACAATGGTATATTCATGCTAGCAGTCATTACTCAGAGATTTGAAGCATCACTTTATTGGAGCCCACCACAATACAGTCTAAGACTCTTTGTTTCATTTGTTATTACCTTCTCTTTTTTTCCCCTCTTTTTTTTTCTTTTTTTTTTTTACATGCATTTAGTTCAGACCTGTTTGTAGTTCCTGACGGCTAAATTCCAGCCAGGCCCTGCAGCAGCTCTGTCATTGATGCTGATGTGTGCCTATGGAGCAAGGGGCTTTCCTGGGGCCTCCAGCTCCTCACAGGGTTCACTCCCTAAACACCCACACCTTGGTGGAGCTGTGTGAGTGAGGGTGGGTTAATGGACTGATAGTCCTTTAGCTAACATCCAGCAAATCTTTAGAATATTGAGTTGCCTTATAAAAGTGGATTTACAGGCTAGGAAGGCATCTGCACTCATGTAGGGGTTTTGGTAGAGGATGATGAGATTATTATTGTTATTATTTTGCATACACAAATAGCTTAACTGTATATTTGTTATCAGTTTTTGGGGGTTTTAATGTAGTTTAACATGATGTGGATGCTAAGGCAGTACTATTACTAAATTGTTCAGTATGTGGAATTTCTTTATAGGGCTTTAACTGATAGCCAGAGCCCACAGAAGTTTTCTGCTTGTTGAAAGTACCTTCTGCATTTAGGAGGAGGATGAATGTCATGAGAAACACTTTTCAAGATTAATAGACTGACTGTGAAACGCCCATTTCTCCTTAATGGAAGGGAACAGGCGTATCTTAGGAGCAGGGAGGAGTTCCTTGGGGCCAGAGGGGCTGCAGTGTCCTGGCCTCCCTCGTCACTCAGGCTAGGAAAAATTGAAGAATTAAATGCAACTGGAAAAAGATGAGTTTGTGGCAGAACATCATGAAGTGATGCAGGAGAGGAGACCAGCAAATGCTTTGGGGTTGAGGGCCCACAGTGAAAACCAGCATTAAATTAAGGTTGCAATGGGTGTGAAGAGACAAGAACTTAGTGCCAGGTTTGTACCTGGAGGCACCTTCTAGAGGAGAACTGGAGAGAGGGCTTAAATGAAGTGCAGGGTGAAAGCCTTAATGCCAATAATAATTTCCCAGAGGAAGTAGTGGATGCTCAGTAGCTGCTGTGTTTAATGATGCATTTGATGAGGACGTGCATGTTGACATGGGAGGGGTTGACCCAGTGTTGGCTGAGGGACTTTTCTGTCTGCCCTTGCCTAGAGATGTGCCAAATACATCATGAGTGCACAGCATTAACCCTGGTCTCATGCAGACTCCCTTGAGCAAATTGTCTGTGTAATGTTAGGAGGTGCAATCCCTTGGCTTCCCCAGGCACAAAAAAGCCTGTAGCTGGCCATGAGGGAGAGATGGTATCAAGGATCATCTTGGACCCTTGTGTGTTGCCGTCTTGTGCTCAGGGCCAGCATGAGGAAGCCAGTGGCCAGTCTTGAAAAACAAATGACACAAGGCAACCTTTAATAAATGAGCATGGAGAGGAGGGTGTTAGTAATGCTTGTTCTGATGGGAGGAGCTGATTACAGGCTGCTGTTGGCAGGCTGCAATGGCTCTCCCTCGTTTAACATGGCTTTTGATGTATATGAGCCCATGGTTTGGTGCTGGCAGCCTGTAAGTGCCTGCTGAAGGTGTAGGCTCTGAGAATGGAGCAAAATGTTTCCTGGAGATGTGTGCTGGTCAGAGGAGACACTACGGTGTTTAATGTCTGTATGCTCAAACTGTTATCCTTGTTACCTGTTAGTCTTAAAGCTGCTCCACTAAAAAGCTTCATTTTTCTCTCTGTGCATTAGATTCAATGCTGCTGGTAGCAGAGAGGCTGGAGGGTCCCTTCAACATTGAGTCTGTCATGGACCCCATTGACGTGAAGATTTCAGATGCAATCATGAACATGCAGGAGAACAGCATGCAAGTGTCTCAGAAGGTAAATGGGCCAAGAGGATACTTGGGATTTATTTATCCAATATGTTTCATTTCCCTGTTCTTGTCAATATGTTTTTCTTTACTGCCCTTTCAAGTATATATAAAGCTGATATATTATTTTGTGGCTGGGTTGGACCCCGGAGAAGGGAAAGTCTTGTGACTTCCTGTTTTATAAAATCCTTTCCTTCTCTCATGCAGGTTTTCCAGGGATGTGGCCAACCAAAAACACTTGCCCAGGGCCGGACTGCTCGCTCTGTCTCTGAAAGTGGTTTCAGTGCTCGTTTCAGACCCTACAACCCAGAGGAAAGGCCAACTACTGCAGCTGGCACGAGCCTGGACAGACTGGTGGGTGCCTGGTCTTGCTGGTGCCACACAGGTGCTTCACACCCATGTGCCACAGCGTATAATTTTCCATTTTTAATTTATAGTGTTTCTTAATATTCCCTGGCTGTCTTAAACTGTCTGAGGGGTGTAATCTGCCCATGGCTCTAGACATGAATTACCTCAACGCTTCTATGTCAGAGAAGTGCCTGTGTTAAAGGCTTGGCTTATGAGTAATATGTGTTTGAGGAGCAGTGTTTAATTTTGTATTAAAAAAGTAAATCAACCATCAAAACATGCAGCCAGAAGATCTGGCCTGTACACGTCTGTTGTGATAAAAAATACCTTCCCTACTTCACTTTTAATGAGCGTTTGGTATTCTGGATTATGTCTCATGTTTCTTTTTTTTCTTTTATTTAATAGGTTACTGATGTGAAAGAGAAGCTGAAGCAAGCCAAAAAATTTTGGTCATCTCTCCCTGGCAACATTTGCAATGATGAAAAGATGTCTGTAGGCACTGTCAATGAGAATGAGTGCTGGAACGGGAGCGCCAAGAGCAGGTTTGGCAATGCTGTGGCCCCTGGTTAACCCTCTCCCTCTCATTCCAGCCTTTCCCAGCATGCTGACCACTCTCCCTGAGCCCTCTTCTCCACCAGGAGTGACCCCAGCTGCCCCAAGACAGGCTGCTGCCATTACCCCTTTTGTTTCTGTAGATGGGAGAGCTGGAACACAATGTCAAAGTTAGAGGAGAGAACTGAGTGTAGATACCCAGATAGGGCATCTCTCCTTGGACTTAAAGCCTCTTACTATTGTTCATGGTTTAGGGGAGATGACCTGTACAAAATCCTGTATCATGGGCACAGAACAGGGATGCTCATATCATCTGTCAGTGTTGTTGCCCCAGTGCCCCCAGTTGGAGTTTCCACCAAGGACTGGTTTCTTTATTGAGCAAGGGCAGGGTAGATGGAGGCCAGAGACCTTCTGTGCTGCTGAGGTCAGTTGCACAAGGGGGCCAGTGGTTTCTGGTTTCATTCACACTTTTTATGTAAAAAGAGTTACAAAACTCTTTTCTTTTTTTTCTTTCTTTTTCTTGTAAGAAAGAAATTGCCAACACATGAATAAGACAAAGTTTTTCTGTCATATGGTTTATGTAACTGTTTAACTTTTATTTTGGAAACGGAAGTTTCTTTTTTTGTTGTTGTTTCTGTTTGCTTACTGAGGAAATAAGCACAATCCAAGATGTTCTATGAAAAAAACCAGTTGTCCTGGGGTTTTCCAGCAGTTTTTCTAAATAATAGCAGTTTTTGCCCTGATATTTTTGGGCCACAGAACTAAGCCATGCCTCATAAATTTTACACTGTTTTGTGTGAGCCGAAAACTGCTGTGCTGGGCCAGAGTGATGCTTTGGGTCTCTGTGACAAGAAATGGCTCTGCCTCCTGAAATCTTGCATATCAGCAGCCTCTACAGGACTTTTCACAGCAGATATCCCCAGCGTGTGTGAGGGTCTGTACCAGTATGGAGAGCAGATGGGGACTTGGTAGCACTGGGCAAGGAGACAGAGTGGAGGCTGAACATCCTATGTGGCTTGCACAAGATAATTTTCTTTGCCATTAGTATTTTCTCTGTGACTCCAATAAGCTAAAAGTTTGGTAGCCTTCCACAGTTTGATCTCTGACTTCTTTGAAACATATAATACAGATCACAAATAATAACAACCACCACCAATAATCATCATCATTGTCACTCCTGTGTACAGGACAGGGTTTGAGCATGCTCTTCAGATGTATGGTTATATCTCACTGCCTGGTCTCCAAGATCCGTAGGATGTGCTAAAGGCTTTTCTTCACTCTCATGGTACTGATGTTGGCATCATAACTGAGAAAAGTAGTGTTTTCTTCTGTTAAACTGATTTTTCTAGCGAGTCAGGTGATCAGAGGAAGGAGAAATATGTCCTGGCCCCGCTCTATAAGATGATACTCCAAATACCTGTGTCAGGAGATGTATTCTGTTGGGTTTTGGCACTCAGTCTCTTTTAAACCAAGAGGCTGTATGTGTGTGCAGACCTGAACATGCACATCTTCTCAGACTAAGCAGCTTGGCTTTTCCATGCTCCACTGTGTGGAGTCACAAGACCTCATCTTCAGCATCACGGGTGTTTCTCCTGCTGGAGTTATTAGGGAAATTGTGTCTCATGTCTGCATGGTGAGAAGCACACATTCAATATCCCCCCCAGCTTGATGGTTAAGATGCATTACTCAAAGACAGAATGACACTCTTGCCTCCAACAGTTACTATAGGTTTCTGTGGGATAACTACGGCCTTGAAGGTCATTTTTCCAAAAATGTCATCTAACTGGGCATCAAGGCGTCTCAGCAGCTTGTTTTGCTCTGTTGCCTGCAGCAAGCTGATTTATGCTGTTGAAAGCCATTATTACTATAAACCCCAGATCTTCCTTCTCTTTTCAAGTTGGGGAGAAAATGGTCCTTCCCTTGCCCTTGTGGCACAGCATAAATGAAAACAGTGTTTAATTCCACATGCTGCAGAGGCTGCAGAAAGGGGAAATGGGGTAAGAAGTCAGAGAAGGTCTTTGTGAAGTTTAGTACTTGGGAAGATCATGTTTGGCTCAGAATATCACCAGACTGAAAATAGGGATGTCATTGCTGAGTTCCCATGGTTGTCACCCTTTGGCATGGGATCCCACCGAGCTGAAGCTCTGGTACCAGAAGGAATGGTTTCTTTTACGGTTTGACTTTGCAGTGACTGGAAATGGCTTAGCAAGTCAAGTGAATAACCCAGAGGTGGAAGTTGATATTACCAAGCCAGACATGGTGATTCGCCGGCAAATCATGGCCCTGCGGGTGATGACCAACAAACTGAAGAATGCGTACAGTGGGAATGATGTGGACTTCATTGACATAAGTATGTTTGCTCTTGTTTGTCTTTTGCTTTTTCTTATTCCCTTTTTAATTGGATTTCATGCTAACTACCACCGGGTAGCCTGTTAAGCTTCAGCTGTAGGTAGGTGTGTTAGTAAAGAGAGTGGGAAGTGGCATCTCCGACAGGCTGTGTGAGGAGGGTTGTTCCCATAGTCATAGAATGGGTTGGGTTGGAAAGGGCCTTTAAATGTTATGGAGTCCAAACCCCCTGCAATAAGCAGTGACATTTTCAATGAGGTCAGGTTGCTCAGAGCCCTGTCCATCCAGCCTAATCTTGAGTGTTTCCAGAGAACCACCTCTCCAGGCAACCTGTGCCAATGAAACACCACCCATGTCATAAGAATTTTCTTCCTTATGTTTAGGCTAAATCTACCCTCTTTTAGTTTAAAACTGTTACTCCTCATTCTATCAGAACAGGCCCTGCTGAAAAGTTTGTCCCTGTCTTTCTTATAAGTCCCCTCAAAGTATTGAAAGGCCAAAATAAGGTCTCACCAGGGCCTGCTCTTCTCCTGGTTGAACAACCTCAGCTCTCTCAGCCTGTCCTCATATGAGAGGTGTTCCAGCTTCTGATCATTTTTGTAGCCTCCTCTGGACTCGCTCCAGCAGATCCTTCCTATGCTGAGGGCCGAGAACTGTATGCACTACTCCAGGTGGGATCTCATGAGCAGAGTAAGAGAAGTGAACCCACTCCCTTGACCTGATGATCGCACTGCTTTTGGTGCAGCCCAGGATGTGGTTGGCTTACTGGGGCTGCAAGCACACATTGCCCTGATGTCACAGTAACCTGAGGACCCACACTTACATCTTCTCAGTATCAAAACAGCCCCACTCTTGCCTTTTTGTTTCCCCTCGCTGTCTTCTGCAAGTGAAGCCATGTGCTGCAGACAGCAGAGGAGGACAGCAGGTATTTGTCTCCCACAGGTGAGGAGAGCAGCGGGGAGGAGAGCGGCAGCGGCTGTGAGCTCCAGCAGTGCTCCCCAGAGTTCGAGTTCAACGCCACTGAGGTCGCTGTGAACTCCAACAAGAGCGATAAGAACGTGAACACTTCTGCCGCTACCAGGAGCAGTCTATCACAAGCAGCCTTGCTCCTTAGCATTTTGTTCTTGGCCATGCAAAGACAATGGAGATAATTGTGCAGCATAGAGGGGGGGGAAAGACTTTTATTATCAAAGGTAGAAGGCACCTGCTTTCACTTTTATACCATCTAGAGACTTCGCTTTTTAAGTTAATGGACAACAGTGTACAGTTTTTACTATGTTGCCACTGGTTTTAAGATACTGATTTTTTTTTTCCCTTGCTATTCTGGGAATAACAGGAGCAGGGACTACCAGTTTATCCCGTTCACCAAGAGTCCATGTTAGAGGTGGATAACAAAAATGTATATACAAGCCTGTAGTTAGCTCTGCATTTGTGTCTTTATCACTTCTTTTTTTTTTTTCTTTTACTGTATTTCTTATGAAAACAAAACCCCAGGGTCTTCTCTTGGCCTGTAACAAGTATGTGTTTCTGAAATGAGAAATATCTGTACAGAAGCAGGTTTTATTTATCATGTTATCTTATGGGGGAAAAAATAATTGCCCAACAAGCAGAAAATGTTTCATGTAGTTAAATTCCCATTTATCCACATTATGTTAGTTGCCTTATCTGGAGAGAAGTGGAAGTCATTTGTTTTTATTATGTGGTAAAACAGAAGGTGAAGGCAGAGCTGGTCAGCGTGCCAAGGGCTCCGTTCGCGTAGGGCGTCGATGCCAGGAGCAGGTTGTGCTTTCTTTACAGGAGATTTGGTTAAATTGGAAGGGACTACAGAGAATTCCCATTCTGCGGACACTAAGAAGAGCTGTTGTTTGTTCCCCGAGATCCTTGCAATTAGCTGTAACTTCCGTGGGGCAGTTCCTGACGTGCATCTCCCATGGGAATGAGACATTAAACTTGTTCAGTTGGAAGCAACTTGTCTTCTCACAGATCCAAATGCCAACATGTGTCTTGTCTGCAAATTTGTTAGGTGAATGCTGGATTGATCTTTTAATTGTTTTGGTTGTGTTTTTAAGGACTCCTTTGTGGGAGGGTAGGCGGGGGGTGTTGGGTTTGTTCTTACAAGAGTTTTGTTTCCGATGGGGACAAAAGGGAAGGCTCAGGCACTGTTGCAGGCAGATGGGAGTAGGAGCTGGCAGGGCTGAAGATATCTCCTGTTTGGTGTGTTTGGTCTCCAGGAAGCTGATGCCCAGTGTCTGTAGCTTTTCAGCACTACCCAAGACACCCTCGTCTCTCTACCTGTGCTTTTGCAGTTGGAACAGTTTTGTGGTGAACGGCAACTCATGAGTGAAAGAAATGTATATTTTTAAGGAAAAAAGATGAAATAATTTTTAAAAGAGTTTAGCAAAAGTTAAGTCTGTGGAAAGACTCAAAATTATTCTGCACGTCTCCTCCTGCTTTGGGTAGCCTTTAGGTCTGGCTAGACACTGGGGTCTGGCCAAGACAGCAATCCAGAGAGAGAGAGGGTTTGCTCTATTCCACCCTTGTGTCATAAAGGATAATTTTCTATTTTTGTATTGAAGCATTAATTACATGTTAGCTCAGGGTCAGCTTTATATCCAACTGTATTTTCACACCAAATTTCAGCAACGCTATAAAGATGGAATATTCTTGGCTGGTATAAACAATCCTGGAGGCTTAATTTCACTAGAAGTAGACAGTTATTTATTAAAACATGATGTTGGTAGAGTTAGGAATATTCTGGCTAGATTATTTTTCTTTAGAAAATAAATCATGGAACCATAAAATGAAAAAAAATTATAAATTTATGTGTGGGAAAAAATGGATTGTAAATAGCTAAGTTGCCTTGCGAGGAATTGGAAAATGTGCTGATACTTAGAAACTACCTCAGTTCTGAGGAATTTCCTTTCTAGCTTTGAGTGCTATTACATTTACTTGGTAGAAGTGAATCTGGTCTCCAATATGTAGCTGAAAGAGTTATCCCTATAGACCTTGTTAGATTGTTTTTAATTTAGAGGGTTGAACTACATCCAGCTGTTTTCTTTCAGCTAAGTTCCCTAACAAAGAGAATTTCTGAATTAAATATCGCTGATGGTTTCCATGACTTTTCCTGATTTGTTTGGTTTCATGGCATTTTCTGATTGCCCTTTAATTATTTAAATGGTTCTAGCCATTTGAATTTTAATCCTGAAATAAACAAACCTTAGATGCACTACCATTGTAAATAGATCGCAGTAAGGTCTGACTGGATAACCCTTCTGGCTCATACCCAGCTGGCAGGCCGGCAGAGTTAAATGAAGAAAAAAACCCCAAGAATAAAAAAAATAAAACTTCTTCAGAGCTCAGAGATTGGTGGAACAAAAGCCCTTATGTTCGGAGGGGCTGCCTGCTCCAACATCTCCCTTCTTGGCGTAAGTGTTCATATGTAAGAAAGTTGCTTGTAAATTCTCCTGCTTTGGAGCGTTTCTGCTCAGAAAAGAAAAATACTTCTGAATTTATATTTATCGTTTTACAACTAATGGCTTACTAATTATTATTCCTTAGTTTGGTATGAGCCACCGATGCAAAGATTGCCATCAGTTTTAAGCGTGTCCAGTTGACTTTGTTAATAGCACAACGATCTTCCACTATATAAAGGACAGATTTGTCACCTGGGGCTACAGGAAACAAGAGTAAACATCAATGTAAGATGATCAAAAGTTGTGTTCCTGCTTTTATTTTGTGTTTGTGTGTGAAATTGGCTCTCTGACATGAGCTTGTAAACTAAACCATACGGGTAGGGATGAGGCATGCTGCTGACTTCATGGAAGGCATGTGCTCCCCTCCTTCAAGGATTTCTCTTTTTTTCACATAACCATTACCATTTGAGCATGATTTAAAGAAAAATTCCCATACATAGAATTAATAATTGAAGTTAATGGAGTTGGTAATGAGCTTCAAATGCAAAATGAAGCAGAAAGGTGGTGTCCTTGACAGCATGGGAGATGCTGTCTCCCGAAGAGCTGGAACAAAGAAATCCAGCCCTTAAAAGGACCTGCTTTAACAGCTCAGTGCCTCTTCTGAAACACGTGGGGCTCCATGCTGCCACGGCCTCACAGGTGACACGTGGGAAGGGAAAAGGAGAGCACATGATGAGACTGGTGTGATCAGATTCTCTCAGTTTGTGCTGTGATGGGTGATGTCCCCCCAGGTCAGGACAGATGACCAGTGCAAGAGAAGTCCTCCCACCCCCCAGGGCAGGGTCCTGCTCCTCCCCCCTGGCTGAGCCAACCTGCGTTTGTCCTCACAGGCAAAGTGGTGTATTAATTCTGGAAGGTCTCAGTACAGTGGTCATTTCATAGACAAGATGGTGCTGAAGTTTCCATCACCATCCCCTAACTGCTTTGCTGGGTATAAGCCTTGCTGGACCAGGCAAGCCCTCTTGTGTGGTCCTAGCTCCTTTCTCATGGTAGCCTCTGCTGTTGGACATCTCAGAGCATGGCATGTAAAAATCACTTCTGTCTACTTGGATGTTTTTAACTGTTGTGTGTCACACAGTAATTGCCAGCCCTGTTTGTCACCTTTTCCACAAACCCCCCCACTTCCCTGTCATTCACTGTGTGAATGTGGCAGTGCCTCCCCCCAATGAGAGCAGTAAAAATCGCTCGATGCTGCTTTCCTGCTCATGCCTTTTGCTTATCGGCACAAAACCATGGTGTTTCTTCTTGTCCATGGGCAAGCCAATGACCCTGACACATCTCCACAGCCTTGAGTGGCAGACACCCAGGTCCTGCCAGTGCAGGCAGGCCTTGGAGCATCCTGGGGACCCTGAGAACCAAGGACTGTGTATGTGGAAGCTGGTGGGCATTGCTGCTGCAGGAAATCTGAGTCTGGATAAATCCATCTCTGTTAGAAGAAAATCCATCTCTGTTGGATTTTTTAATGCTGTTATCTTTCTTTTTTCCATGTAAGCTGGGCTGAGTGTCTGGAGTAACTACGCTGTCTCTACCTCAGGTCGACCTGATGTCATGGCCAGTGGCCACCTGCCTGCAGTGGTGCATAAGCCAACATTGCAGTGCCTGCCAGGTTGGTGTGAGGGTGACCTGTCCTCTACTGCTTTCATTCCTGGGAGGGCTCTCTAGGACTGGTGGTAATTCCAAAATAAATTTTAAAATGTGTAGAAGGGGATAAAAACTGATGCAGAAACATTGCAATCCCCATCCCAAGCAGTGAGGTAGTGCTGTGCTTCATGGCATCGTTCAAGGGCTGGGATTTAATGGTTTAAGGTATCTGCAAGACATACGTTGGTTAGAGATGGTGCCATAGTCGTGGTTTTAGGACCACCTGAGTGTGAACTAACCACAATAATGGCTTTCATTTCTTTATAATTCTGTTTCAGGCATCATGTTTTCTGGGTTTGGTTTGCTTTTCTCATTTAATCCTTTGCTGTGATTTGTTTGAGGGCTTGTAACAGTGCAAATTGCCTGGGAAGACACAGCTCTTTATGGGCTTGCTGTAATTCTGGGTCAAGTGTGCTCAAATTGCTGTAATTTGTATCTAATGGATTACATGGATTGAGAACCCTTTTATAACTGTAGGAGCAAGGAGTGGCTGCCTGCCCTCGGAGGAGGGGAAGGTGTCCTGGGCATGGCCTGTCCCTTTTGTCCCTTTCCTCTGGGAGGGAGGACTATCCTTTTCATGGTCCCATGGGCTAAGGAGCCTGGCAGGGCTGGGGAACCTGCTGGGTGCAAAAGTAGCAGGTGGCCATGGCAAAGAGGTAAACCTGGCAGGTTTTGGAGGATGCTACTGGCATATCCCAATGTTGTGTTGCCTTCCTCTGGTTACTATCCCCGTGCTGTCAGGTGGGTAGCTGGTGGGATGCTTTTCCTCCTTGAACCTGTTCTGCCTGATTGGCCTTTGCCCTTCTGGTCTCCTCTCAGCCTTCTCACTGTGACTGGGCCCCACGGTTCCTTGCTGCCCTGGCTCCTTTATCCCAAATCTTTGCTCTTTGTGGTGGATCCTCTTGTGTGTGCCCCATGTCCCAGCAGAAGCAGAGCCAGAATGTATCTCACCCATGGACCTTGGTCTCCCTTGCAAGCCATCTCTATTTAACCCCCACCCAGAGATTGCTGCAACCAGGAGTTTTCATTTGAAAATCAGCTCTTATTTGCATCCACAAATTTGCCTCAGTTGTTAGTCATTGACATGGTTTAGTGGTGGACCTGGCAGTGCTGGTTAATGGTTGGACTTGATGTTCTTTCCAACCTTAATGATTCTATGATTCATTTCAAGAGCCAGGTAATGTCTATCTCCCTGGTGGTTGTGTAGGAGCTGAGTGGGAGCAGCTTCAGCCCCATCATGAAATCTGGGGTGCCTGTGCCCCTCTTTCATGTGTTGCAGCAACAGAATTCCCCTACGTAGCTTCTCATCTTCCCAGCGTGTCCTGCTGCACTGGCTCCTGCTACATGTGTCATTAATTCATGTAATCTGATGCAAATCAATATGCTAAACCCCTCATTAATTGGGTTAGTGATTTATACTAATGAGACTTAAAATCTTGGAGAAGGTTGAGGGTATTTGTTTCTCCTCTGACAAGCTATTGTCAGCCCCACAATGGCTGGCCCTTGGCTGGGCTGGTAATTGCCTCGTGACTGTATTTGCATCGACATAATAGCAAGGATGTTAGCGGGGAGCTAAGACATCTCATCTTTTCCTCTGAACAGGAAAAT